GCATTCTATTTGGTATGACAACAACGCACCCAGAATTTAAAAAAAAAAAGCATCAATATTATTAAAAAACCAGTTGCTGTCAACTCTGACTCATGGCGACCCCACGTGTGTCAGAGGAGAACTGTGCTCCATAGTTTTTGATGGCTGATTTTTCGGAAGTAGATTGCCAGGCCTTTCTTCTGAGGTGTCTCTGGGGGGACTCGAACCTTCAACCTTTTGGTTAGCAGCCACGCGCACTAACTATATGCGCTACCCAGGGACTCCAGTCCAACTATTCATTCATGAACAGCAACTCAAGATTCAAATGCTTACATGTCAGTTCTTCTTGGTAGCTGAGTTAAATTTATGAAGGTATTGAAAAAACTCACGTACATGGGTAGTCCCCGACTTACAACGTATTCAAGTTAGGATGAACCATACTTACAAACATCTTTTTTTTGGTACATCTTATTGTTAGTAATATGTACTACATAAAATGTTGTAGCGCATAATTTGCTGATGTTATCATTCTCACATGTAATGTTTCCAACCCCCCAAAACAAAGATTGGATTTATAAAGACACCAATAGTAAAAGACAATAATAATGAAAACTTAAAAAAAAAAGGATGTATTCTACTTACGTCAGAACCGACTTATGACGGAGCCGTTGGAACAGAATCCTGTCATAAGTCGGGGACTATCTGTACTTGGTTTTGTTAACTGCTACACTGAAAAGTGGTCATCCTAGAGTAATCTATCCAATAAGTACTAGAAAAAAACTTCCAACCTTTTGGTTAGCTGCCAAGTTTTTAAATGTTAACTTTCTTTAAAACATATGCACAGACCTAGGAAGAGTCATCTTTGTTTTGACCTTTTTTTCACCATCTTCAAAAATACCTAGATCAAATGGTTCCCATTTTCTTACCGTACACAACAGAAATTGTTAAAATCAGTCAAAATTTATTTCTCAAATACACATAGCTTTGAATTTAGAAAAGCTTAGCTCTAAGTCCAGGTCTGTGAGCCATACTTCAGCCTATGACCAAT